GAAAGAAAACCCCACTCCTTGTAACAGTAAGCCCTGCTCAGAGGGCAGAAAACCCCAAGTGGGGTCCAGTGGGGTCCAAGGCCCCCAAGTCAACCCCTCCCCTGGTCAGGATCCTTCACATCAGGACCCAGGGCCGAGTCATCTCCTAAAGCCCGGGCCTCAAAAGAAAAGGTCGGCGCAGCCGTAAAAGCCGGATGGAAGGGGGCCCACTGGTCAGACCCAGAGACTTCGGCAGGGAGTACCAACTCGAATGCCTCCGTTGCCACACCAGAAGAGGCCTCTCCCGAGGCTGTCCGAGTCTCAGAACCATCTAAACCCTGCCCCGACTCCGAAACCCTCAGACGTTTCAGGGCCGGAAGCAGGGAAGGGGGGGGATGGACCAGATCGAACCACAGCAGGAAAAGGACAAGGGGGCACGGATGGAACCAAGGCCGAAGCGACCATCACCCCCAAGTCCAGGTCCCTATAAGCAAAGCAGGGCCGCCTTGGGGCAACAGGGTGAGCAACCAGCCTAGCGCGTTGCAGCAACCTAAACCAAGAATGCAACGTGCGAGCTGCATGCACCCGAACAAGGTCATCAGTAGATTGGGTACCTGCTTGATGGGGTTCTGGGAGTTCTTCTACATCCCAAGCCCGGCCCGAGGCCAGGCTCGACTTTTGAGTTTGGTCCACTAGGCTGTTGCTTGGAGCGGCCCGCAGGGCCACATACCCACCGCAGCCCGGCTGATCCGGAACTTCTCTTAGAAAACAGTCCAGTTTTCTCTTGAAGATGTCCACGGTTGTTCCGGCAATATTTCTTATAGTCGCTGGGAGGACGTTGAACAACCGCGGACCTCTGATGTTCATACAGTGCTCTCTGATTGTGCCTATGGCACCTCTGCTCTTCACTGGTTCAATCTTGCATTTTCTTCCATATCGTTCACTCCAGTACGTTGTTATTTTACTGTGTAGATTTGGGACCTGGCCCTCCAGTATTTTCCATGTGTATATTATTTGGTATCTCTCTCGTCTCCTTTCTAGAGAGTACATTTGGAGAGCTCTGAGACGATCCCAATAATTTAGGTGTTTTATCTCGTCTATGCGGGCCGTATATGTTCTCTGTATTCCCTCTATTTCAGCAATCTTTCCTGCTCTGAAGGGGGAAGTGAGTACTGAGCAGTACTCGAAACGGGACAACACAAGTGACTTGAAGAGTACAACCATTGTGATGGGATCCCTGGATTTGAAAGCTCTCGTAATCCATCCGATCAATTTTCTGGCTGACGCGATATTTGCTTGGTTATGCTCCTTAAACGTTAGATCGTCAGACATCATTATTCCCAAATTCTTGACATGCTGTTTTTCTACTATGGGAAAATTCGATTGTGTTTTGTACCCTGTATTATGTTTCAGATCCTCATTTTTGCCGTACCTGACTACCTGAAATTTATCACTGTTAAACATCATGTTATTTTCTGCTGCCCAATCGAAAACTTTGTTGACATCTGCTTGTAGTTTTTCAATGTCTTCAGCAGAGGTAATTTTCATGCTGATTTTTATGTCATCTGCAAAGGACAACACGAAGCTGTGATGTGTATTTTCGTCTATATCAGATATGAGAATAAGGAACAGTAGCGGTGCAAGGACTGTACCTTGAGGTACAGAGCTTTTAACATCGCTTGGACTTGATTTCATCTGATTGACTGTTACTCTGTGTTCTGTTCGACAGGAAATTGAGTATCCAGCATCCTACTTTTCCAGTTATTCCCAATGACCTCATTTTGTGAGCTATCACCCCATGGTCACATTTGTCGAATGCCTTTGCAAAGTCTGTGTATACAACATCTGCATTTTGCTTTTCTTCTAGGGCTTCTGTGATTTTGTCATAGTGGTTGAGTAACTGTGACAGACAGGATCTTCCCGCTCTAAATCCATGTTGTCCTGGATTGTGCAATTCATTGTTTTCCATAAAACTAGAAATTTGATTCCTAATCACTCTTTCAAACACTTTTATTATGTGTGATATTAGTGCAATTGGCCTATAATTTTTTGCCAAGGTTTTACTCCCCCCCCTCCTTGTGCAATGGAGCTATATCTGTAGATTTAAGTGCTGCTGGTATCTCCCCTGTATCCAAGCTCTTTCTCCATATTACGCTGAGTGCTCTCGCTACTGGTACTTTACATTTCTTTATGAATATTGAATTCCATGAGTCAGGCCCAGGAGCTGAGTGCATAGGCATATTGTCAATTTCTCTTTCAAAGTCTTCCGAGTTTGTGGTAATATCCGTTATATTATCTGCAGCTTGAATGTCATTCATAAAGAAGCTGTCTGGGTCATCAACTTTCATATTGTTTATTGGTGTGCTAAACATAGCCTCATACTGGCTTCTTAGAATTTCACTAATCTCTTTGTTGTCTTCTGTGTACGTACCTTCATTTGTAATTAACGATCCAATACTGGTCGAGGTTTTTTATTTCAATTTTGCATATGTGAAAAAATATTTAGGATTTTTCCGTATCTCTTGTATAGCTCTCTGTTCCAATTCCATTTCCTCAGGCTCATATGATCACTTCAACGTTTGTTCTATTTCTTCGATCTCCCTGCTTAGGCTTATTTTCCTTGCTTGTGATAGTTGTGTCTGCCGAAGCATTTCCGTTATTTTTTTAATCTCCTGTACAGTCGTCTGCATTCTCTTTCTAGAGTGGTCCTCTTTCTGCCCCTCTTCACAGGCACGTGCTTCAAGCAGACCTTGTAAGCTTCAGCTGTCAGTTGAGCTATTCCCTGTAATTACCTAATTGTAGTTACAGGATGAGAGCTACGCTCGTGGTGTCCCGTCTTCCCAGCACTCTTTGTCATATAACGCTTTGAAACTACCGACGGTCTTGGCCTCCACTACCTTCTCACTTAACTTGTTCCAACCATCTACCACTATTTGCGAAGGTGAATTTTCTTATATTTCTTCGGCATCTGTGTTTAGCTAGTTTAAATCTATGACCTCTTGTTCTTGAAGTTCCAGGTCTCAGGAAATCTTCCCTGTCAATTTTATCAATTCCTGTTACTATTTTGTACGTAGTGATCATATCTCTTTTTATTCTGTCTTCTAGTTTTGGCATATTTAATGCTTCTAACCTCTCCTCGTAGCTCTTGCCCTTCAGTTCTGGGAGTCACTTAGTAGCATGTCTTTGAACCTTTTCCAGTTTGTTGATGTGCTTCTTAAGATATGGGCACCAGACAACAGCTGCATATTCTAGCTTTGGCCAAACAAAAGTCATGAACAATTTCTTTAGTATATCACCATCCATGTATTTAAATACAATTTTGAAGTTAGAAAGCATAGCATAGGCTCCTTGCACAATATTCTTTATGTGGTCCTCAGGTGATAGTTTTCTATCTAGAACCACCCCTAGATCTCTTTCTTTATCAGAATTCTTTAAAGATTTCTCACATAATATATAGGTTGTGTGGGGTCTATGTTCTCCTATTCCACATTCCATAACATGACATTTATTAACATTAAATTCCATTTGCCAAGTGGTGCTCCATATACTTATTTTGTCCAGGTCTTCTTGAAGGGCATGACAATCATCTAAATTTCTTATCCGTCCTATTATCTTAGCATCATCAGCAAACATGTTCATATAATTCTGTATATCAACTGGTAGATCATTTATGTAGACAATAAACATCACTGGTGCAAGAACTGAACCCTGTGGTACTCCACTTGTGACATTTCTCCATTCTGATACATTGCCTCTGATTTCTTCTATCAGTCAGAAAATTTTTCATCCATGTTAGAAGCTTACCTGTCACCCTTCCAATATTTTCCAGTTTCCAGAACAACCTCTTATGTGGAACTCTGTCGAAAGCCTTTTTTAGGTCCAGATAGATGCAGTCAACCCAACCATCTCTTTCCTGTAATATCTCTGTGGCTTGATCATAGAAACTGAGTAAATTCGATACACAGGATCTTCCAGATCGAAAACCATACTGTCTGTCTGATATTATATCATTTCTCTCCAGGTGTTCTACCCATTTAATTTTGATTAGTTTTTCCAATACTTTCACTATTACACTTGTCAATGATGCAGGTCTATAATTGAGGGGGTCTTCCCTGCTGCCACTTTTGTAGATTGGAACTATGTTAGCCTGTTTCCACACGTCTGCTACGATTCCTGTACACAGGGATGCCTGAAAGATCAGGTGAAGTGGAATGCTGAGCTCAGATGCACATTCTCTCAGAACCCATGGTGAAACGCCATCAGGGCCAGCTGCTTTGTTCTTACTGAGCTCCTTTAGCATATTTTCCACTTCATCTCTAGACACCTCTATCCGCTCTTACGTTGTTCTCTGGAATTCTTATTGTGTCTGGTTCTCGGAAGATTTCATTTTGTACAAACACACTTTGGAACTTTTCATTTAATGTTTCACACATTTCCTTTTCATTTTCCGTGAATCTGTTTCCCATTTTCAACCTCTGGATATTATCGTTTACCTGCAATTTGTTTATGAATTTGTAGAATAGGCCCGGTTCTGTTTTACATTTATCCGCTATCCCTTTTTCAAAATTCCTTTCTGACTCTCTCCTTACTGCCGTATAGTTGTTTCTCGCATCTTTGTATCGCTGGTATGTTTGGGGGTTTGGCCTCTTCCTATACTGATTCTATTTTTGTGTCTTTTGGTCTCTGGCCCTCTCACATTGTGTGTCCTGGCTGTGTATTTCACTCCAACTGTGAGCTAGGGTTCCCTTCCTTGGTAGCCAGCTTGCATTTTCCTGCCCACCAGAGAGACCACCTCTGAGGTGGTTTGGGTTTCTCCTCTATTAGCCAAAACCTTGAGTCTTCTTGCTTCCAGATGCCACACAGGACTTGTGACCCATTTCAAGGCTTAGTGACAAGAAGCATAGAAGACAGTCGTGTGCTCGTGCTGTGACCACACCTGGCCCATCATGGGGTTCTGTTCTGTTGAAACTAAACTGTATAATACAGAATTTTGCAATAAATGCTAGTGTAAGGTAACTCACCAACTGCTACACAAAACTCTCCCAGCATAGAATCAGGATTGAACATCGGAGTGTGGTTGAGAGCCGTCATGATGAGCACGTCAGCATTTTTCAGAGAATTTTGGTCAATGGGGCGAGGATGGGTCGTCAGCGTCGAAGAGCCACTGAGGTAAGCTATCTGAACACACAATATCTTAAGTTATTTAATAGTACCCAATTGTCTTCATATAAATCATTATATAGATTCTTAAGGGGGCGTTATCTCTGGAAAATTAAGTTGTTCAATGTCAACCATTATTTTTTGACTAGTTGTATATAAAAAGGGCTGCAATTGTTCCAAGTTTCAGTACTGTACTGCAGCCTAAATAGTAAGGAAGATTTTTAATTCTTTTATTTTTTCAATGAATTTCACACATTTTCAAGTGTAAATTTACAACCACACCTTTCAGATATAATCATTCTATGACACTTTTTTGACACATTAGCATATAATAAAGGATCTGTAGGAGGGGATTTTCCAAAACGTCTTTAGTTTTCCTAATACAACTAGTCAAAGTTCTCCCAAAAAATTATGCAAATATATCATGTTTATTGCTATTTATAAAATCAATAAATGAACTCAGGAAAAAATGCTTCAAACAGATTTTAGAGACAAACTTTACATATTAGGTGTAAGTTTCATGTAAATTGAATAAAAAATTAAAGAGATATTTGAACGTTTATGTTACTTGAAAATAAATAAGTAAAAAATAAAGTCTATGGTGTTGCCATCTGTGACTTGAGGTTGACATCAACCAATTTCCTCCACAATTGGCACCCTTACAGATAGGCTTACGTTCATTCAGGTGTATAAGTTTCATGCAAATCGCCCTATAAACAAAAGAGAGAGATCAAAATAAAAAATAATAAAAAAGCCTTTTTTTTTTTACTAAATTTTTTTTTAATAAAACTAATTATAATTTGTTTTTAATATATGCTCTTGTGATAGCTGAGAGTCATAGACATGATTTCAGTTGACATTTTTGTTTGATAATCGTTTTTGACCATTTTGGAAAATTTTTGACACATAATTCAATATTTTTTCCTCCCTTCCTATTTATGCTACGATGCTGAGAATTAGACCAGATGAAACCCTTTTCATATACAACTTGTCAAAAAACCAGCGTTGAATGTAATGAAACGCCATTTTCAGGGTGAGTCCCGGAGGCTCCCCGGAGCTATCCAGGCTGAATATGTATAACTTTCTGGCATCAGTCAAAGCATGGAGTTCTTGCCTACCGGGGACCACGAGCCAGAACCTGGCCCCCTCTTAGAGAGGCACGAGGAGCAATGGCCTATAGAGACCCCCCTGATGATAGGGAGTATTCTATGTCAGCCATCGACCGGGATAGGCACGCAGAAAAGTAGGCTCCCCAAAACAAACACCTATTCTGTTAAACTATTGCGACCGAAGACCGAACAGGTGGACAGAACTCCCCAAACGAAAATTAGCAAACAAGCATGAAGTCATCATGTCACCACGCCGCTGTCTGTGCAATCCCCCCCTCCCCGGGAGGGGGAAGTGGGGGAGCCCCAGACCCCACCGTCGGCGACCCAACCATTAGTTCTTAGGCTGGATGTCAAAACGCGAAAACACCGCCGACCGGAAACTCACCCAGAAAATGGTGTTTCATTACATTCAACGCTAGTTTTCTGGGGGGAAGCCCCGTCAACTCCCCGGAGCTAACTACCCAAAGATAAGGAAAAAAACGGACTTACCCGGGCGGTGGTCCGTCCTCACTCCTCAACGCGAAGTCGAGACAACTGGCTGCAACCGTCGACTCAAAGCAACGCAGGCCCGACCAGGCACAGGAACATTCAACAGGTAGCGAGTGGCCAGGACCCTGTTCGATCTCCAAAAACCCCGGGCCCGAATGTCTACCCAAAACATGTTGCCAAAGACGGCAGCCAAAGCAGCAAATTTACGAACGTCGTGGGCCCGGGGAAAAACCGCAGGCTGGCTACACTTAATAACTCTGCAGACAACCTGAGAGACCCGAGCCCGGAAACAGGGAAGAAGGGAAACCGGATCAACCCAGAGCACATCCCCGGCAACAGAAGCCGTGGCATGCAAATAACAGCAGAGAGCCGCAACTGGACACAACACATGATGCACCCCCGGCCTGACCAACCAAGCATCAACAACCCACGGGCCCCCTCCGGAAAGCAGCCGTCTCATTCTTCGCCAGAAAAGAGGGAGACAGCTGCAAGCGAACGAAACGACCACCAGAACTGAATGAGCAGAAACCTCGGCGCCGGAGGAGAGCATGAAGCTCCCCAATCCGACCCCCCAAGGCCAATGCCAACAGGAAAAGAGCCTTAGAAAAACAATCTCGAATGGAAGGAGCCCACAACAAACCAAGGCAAAGAGAGAAACGAAAGTACGCGGTCCAAGGACCAAGACAGCTCAGGCGGCGCATGAACAGGACGGAGATGAAACAATGCATGAGACAACTTGCGAAACGGGGCAGAAGTAACATCAACACCGAAAGCAAGCTGAAGCGACTCCGCCAACGCCGCACAATACGAAGCGACAGTATTCGGCATAAGATGACGGTCCTGAAACAACCAAGAGAGAGAAAGGACAGAACAACCCTATCACAGACCGAAGAACACCAACACAGTGATAGGAAAAACAGGAAGGACCACCAGGAAACCTCATACTGCCGCCGAGACGAAGCACGCAGGTGGGAGACCAACAACGAAACCACCTGTGCACCATACAAGGAATGATGAACTCGAGTCAAAAACACCAGATGTGAAAACTCGAGGAGAAGACCGAACCAGCCTCGTACTGGGCTGGACCGATCTGCTGAAAGAGGTGGAGCCGCAGGAAGACCCTCGGGTTTGGACACCGAGCAAGCAGTGCCTGAAACCAAGGCTGGGCCGGCCACCAAGGAGCCAGAAGGACAACTCGACCTCGGTAAGTCTCCAAGCGAGTCAGGATCTGGAGCAACAGCGGAACCGGGGAAAAGAGGTACAGGTAACCCCACTGTGCCCAGTTCTGCCTGAAGGCGTCGACCCCGACAGCCTCGCAGTCAGGAAAGGGCGCCACGTATACCGGGAGACGCCTCGATCACGCCGACGCAAAGAGTTCCACGTCCGGAGTCCCGAACATCCGGCACAGCCAACTGAAGGAGTCGGCATCAACCGTCCATTCCGAGGAAAGGGGAAGGAACTGGGACAGGCCATCCGTCAGGACGTTGGACACCCCCAGGATGCGAACTGCTAGGAGAGCCAAACCCCGAGAACTCAGCAGACGAGTCACCCAAAGCGACCAGCCCCAGGGAGCCAAGGACCGCATCGAACCCCCACGGTTCAGGCAATGAACCACCGGGGAGCAGTCCGAATGGGGCCTGATCGTCAATCCGCGAGCGACTCGAATCCTCTAGAGCGACATTCACACTGATGCAAACTCCCGTACAGTGCTGTGAGCTCGACAGAAGGACGGACCCCACCGCCCTTCGCTGGCCTGGAGAGCACTGGTCACAAAACCCCACCCAAGAGACGACGTGTCCGTGTACACATCGAACGAGGGCTCGGGAAGATGCTAAGGCATCGAACCCCGAAAAACCCGAAGAGGAAGCCGGCGATGCAGCAACCGACACAAAGCCCCCGGACGCCGAACCCAATGATCATGAGAGAGGTGGAAGGGCCAGCCCCGAAGGAACCAGAACAGGTGACGAAACCACACCCGACCCGGCAGGTAGACCATCATGGCAAAGTTCAGGCTCCCACACAAACTCTCGAGCAACCGCCTTGTGACCTGGGAACCCCTCAGAAACGGGCGAAGGCAGGACCGCAGGCGCAAGAGAGCCGCCGGAGGAAGAGACAAGGAAGCAGTGCGAGCGTCCCAAACCAGACCCAGCCATGACCGAACCTTAGAGGGAACCAGATGGGACTTCCTCCAGTTCACCAAGAACCCGAACCCGGCGAGCTGGAAAAGAACCAAATCCCTGGCGAGCAGACACGCTGACCGGCTGGGAGCCCAAACCAGCCAGTCGTCGAGATAGGCCAGCACCCGAACACTTAGCAGACGCAGGTGCCCATGAATCGTGGAACCAGGTGCGAGTAAACTGGGTGAGCCGCCCCTCCCCATCTCCCCGTCAATGGGGCAAACCGTGAAAGAGCCGACGTGCCTTGCGAGAACCTAAGCTGTGAACAGGACGGTCCCCGCGCTGACCAGCAACAGCTGGAACCGAAGGCGCTGCCAGCCCCGAATTCAGCACCAAAGGCCTACCCCGGCGAAAAGACCCCTGAGCCCTGGCACGACCCTTCCGGGAAGGCCCCCTGCGGAGCAACAACAACTCAGACATAGGCCGACAACTGACCGAGGCCGCCTGCAGATACTGCACCACAGCAGACTCCACAAACAGCAACGGACAAAAGGGTGAAGACAAACGAAGAGCCAGGGCCCAGGCAGACTCCAAGGAAGAAGCCAGCACCGCCTGACGACACGCAAGGCAAGAAGCATAGAACTGCGAAATCGCATCACGCAGGATGGGCACGAAGAGCTTCAACAAAGCAGACGACGCCCGCACAGCAGAGGGCAGCGCACCAGACCCAGCAGCGGCCCCAAGTGCTACCACATCCAACTCGAGCCAATCCGAGGGCAGCTCAAGGAGAGAAAAGAACGCAGAGCCGAAGCAAGCAGGCCACAAGTCCACCGCAACCAAGGCAGTCGAGAGGGAAGGAACCTGCACATGAAGCTGCATGACACCAATATCCCGCGGAAGGGCAGGGGCGAACAAACAAGCATTAAGATGCTCGAAGTTGCCCCCTTCCCCCCCGGGAAAACTTGCAACGTCACAGAAAGCTCTCACCACTCAAGCATGTGGGACTGACAGAACGTGTGCCAAGCCTCCAACGAAAAGAGAGGACAGTCTGCCAACCAGGATGACTCCGGAACTTCATAATGAAACCAGCACGAACCAGGGGATTCATACACGAAGGAACGCGGATCCATCATGAAGGCATAATCCGGGTCACGCAGGAGGTAAGCCGCCAAAGCCTTCTGCACCTCCGAAGACGAAACACGGGAAGTCAGAAACCTCCAGAAGGACGGAACCAAAGAACCCGTGGGATCACGGAACCAAACCCAGGGAGAGGTGAACACCAAATCTAATTCGTACACGGAGG